GTAGAAACACTTGTGTATTCTAGCTTGTATGTATATATGTATGTAGACAGTTATACCTGCGCATATGTATGGAGTTGTGTAGGCCTTGCCCATCTGGAAACATGTATGGTGTTGCAAGCAGAGTTACAGACATGAAGGAAGATATGGTTGTACATCCTGTGTTCCGAATGAGGTAGGTGTACCATAACGAGCGAATCCGTGTATTACGCGTTGCGGGAAGATATTTGCAAAGTGAGTGAAAAGTTTTTATAAAATATGCAGTCCACACGTATGCTAATCTCGAGGGCATATAGGCTTAGGCACAACAATAAAATTTTACGCTCTGCTAAAATAGTATTAGAATATCGAACCCTTATTCAAGGCATCGCCAGCCTTCTCCCACCCTGTGGTGCCACGACCAACCATACAGATTCCACCAATGCACTACCACGTCCTGGAGTTTCCGATTCATAGAGACTGAAGACGTCATTGCTTTTGTTTCAGACGAATGTTTTTTCTGCTGAAATTAGGGACATCCTCGTTCGAAACGCCCAGTGTGGGAAGCAACACGTTACTCTTGGGGAAACAAAGAACATTTTCGAAAGTTTAGTCGATCAAATCCAACACTTACATGATCTGTAGTCTCTTGTTGCATTATCATCGTTCGCCGGTCGCCAACTCCACAGTAAGAATCAAAATCGCTGAAGTAACTCTGAGCGCTCTAATCGATACTGATAGTTGCGAACACTTTCTCTGCACCAACACTGCTACCAAACATCGAAGTCATCGAGACATATCATTTCAATGGCTTCTACTCACCTACCCTGTGTTCCCCAGGGCATGTTTACCTCTACACAATACAAAACCATACTACGATAGGGTTTCATCTTTCCTTTTCACTGATTTATGCACCGACATCACTCTCGGTCTGGAGTTCCTCATTCAGCATCAGACTGTAATTGTTCCCCTGAATGGCAATCGTCCACGTTTTCCCGTATTTACCCCCTAGTGCGACGGACGTGAGCATTCCCCATTTGCTTAAAAGTCTAGCCTCCGGTTGGGCACCTGTTTCTCTCCTAACCCGCGTCGTCACTCAGTTTCCAATCACAATTTTACTGAATAGGAAATCAAACAATTGTCGTTAAACAAAATTATAAAACCTTTCACATCCATCGATAGACCCTAGACGCGGATGGTAATTGACTACAGCCAAACGATAAATCGATGCTTACTCCCTACTGCGAGTGGATAAACTGGAAGAAAAGGTAGCCCAACATTCACTGTTCGACACGTTTGACCTATAAAGCGTCTATCACCAAACTCCCATTTGGGAAGAGGAAAAGTCAAATGAGGAATTTGAGGCATGTAAAACGTTGTACTAGTTCTGACGTATTCCGTTCGGGGTTACAAACAAAGTTGCCTTCTTTCGACGTACGATAGATAGTATCATTCTTCAAGAACTTCTGCGAGATGAACTCGCATGAACAACGTTTCAATGTGCGGTCACGACCCGGAAGAACATTC